TATTTTATTTTTAATATTTATTATTTTATTATCTCATCATTTATAATAAATAATATTTAATATTTTATTTATTAAAATATCTATGTTATTATTTATTTATTTTAAGTGACTGGAAATTAATTTTTCCACTTTTGTTCATCCTGAATTGTCATAATTGTACCTTTCTTTGTCCTTTATGAACTTTATCACATGCTTAGGGAATTATTTTTCTATATTTATGTCTTTATCTCTCAAAGATCTCTTAACATTATAGTAATAAATGAAATAATATCATAAATTGAAAGTTTTCATAATTACTATTTAGAAACTTATATTTTTACATCTCAATGAATATGTTGTTAGCATATTGGGCATAAAAATTGTAAATGCCATAAAACTACAACCACACATTCATATGTATACATATTTCATGACCCCAGCACCTTAGAACTCAATAACACCAGGTGAACTAGGTAGTGATGTATATTTGATAAGATAACATTTACAAGGTAAACTTGGAAGGTTTTGTTTACTCGTGTCATTAAGATCTTATATAACTAAAGTATCAGCAACTCATACCACAGTTAAATGTCCAGCTGGATATACTAGCTTCAGGTAGACTCAGGTTCTAGTTATGAAAGATTAATTCAAAAATAGGTTTGTGCTTAATGAAGACTGGAAGTAAGCGCTATAATATAAAATTACAGATTTTAGGGTTTAGAAAATTATATTTATGTTATAAAACAATACACAGAATATATTCAGTCTAGGAAGTTATTAGTATCAACTATTCCTACATGCAGACATTTAAAAAGTTCTTTTCCATATTTATTTGAAGCATGTAGATGCTTCATTACTATAAATACAGAAGTGTGTATATTTTGGTTGTCTAATTAGACAAACCTGAGTTTATTAAAAGACCTGGTCATTTAACATTTAATGATCCAAACACTGCAGTTAATAAGTGACATCTTCAAGGATACAAATTTGCATTAAAAGTAGATTAGAAAATTCTAATCACTACATTCTTTTACTAATCTCTTATACAATCTTTGTGCTTCTATTATCATAAATATGTGTAGATGACTCTCATATTTACTCTCCCTACTCAGATCTGAATTTCTAAGATAACCCTTACTGCCACTTTGGTATTTTAAATTTAAGCTGATTAAGACCAAATATAAATTCTCCACCTCTACACTTTTTTCCTCATTCCTTCTTTTATCTTGTTAATGTTCTACTTCTAGCCATCTCTGCACCTTAAATGTCTTTTGTCCCTACCTTTCCCAAATATATCATATACTTCCCAGTTGAGGACTCCTACTAAATTTTTTCGTGGATGCCCATTTTCTTTCTCCGCTACCCCATCACACACATGTACCCACAGTTTTTCATTGTTGCTGCAATTTATCTGCACCTACCAAGTTGTTCTGATCTCTGGCCCAAAATATGTTGATGACTCTTTCATATTGTCTTACTAAGTGAAGTGTTACAAAAAATTAGGCAACATACAATTCATTTTCTTAAAAAATATCAATCACCACCCTTTTTGGTAATCAATAATCAGTTCACAGTTCACATTTATTCTGTATATGACCATTTTTAAGTAAGAGAATGGCAAGCACTCCAATTTAATCAGAGCATAAGGTGTGTTGAACAGAACAGGCTCCACCAGCATTGACATTAATGCATTTACCGAAGCTCTCAGTTTTGTAATCTTAGCAACTTGGTTTTGTTAACATTGTGTATGTTGGTTTGTGTCCTTCAAGCAGCAGATGCCAAGCTGGGATTATACACATAAGGATTTTGTTAGGGAAAATTCTCTTTAACACAAAAATAAGGAGGGAGCCAGAGAAAGCTGGGGAGCCCTCACACTACGATATCTGACCCAAAGGAAAGAGAGGTAGAGGGGCCTCGACTGCCCTGGTGCAATGAGATTAAAACAAGTTCAGCAAGGCTATCAGGGAATCCTTCAGGTATAGGAAGACGGGTCTTGTGACTCCCAGGAATGGGCCTATTTTAGCATCTTGACCACATTTAGCCATTGACTAAGAGTCACTCATGGGGAGCATGGGACTGGGGACAAGAGGTTTCAGAACAGAGCAACTGGAATTTTTAGTCAATTACATCTGTAGTTGGAGGTTTGTATTCTCTTGACCACCACAACCCTGGAAGATGATCCATTTCTCAAAACAGAATATCTAGTTAAGCTCATAGAAAACCTGATTGTATATCATTATATATCAATGATAGTTGTTTTACTTACACTAAGAATTAACCTGCAGTGTCAAATATTCTTGTTAAAAAATAAACAGATTCTCTGCATGTTAGCAGATTTCTGTCTAGGAGCTGAATTCCAATCTGCAGTTGGATTGGTGAGCATAGACTCTGAATAAAATGTTTTAAGTGGACAATTCAAACTTTAATGACACCAGGGTATGACATTAGTTATATTTCCCTCCATAGCAGGGCTACACATACCCCAAGTAATATATAGATCACATCTGGGTCTAAGCACCCTCCTTTGGACAGGACAGGGAAAAGACTGCTGAAGTATGCCCCTCTGACTTTGGTCTCTCGTGTTCCATGCTGAGCAGTCCCCTCTCTGTTTGTTAGCTTTTGCACAAAACAAATGACCACAATGCTGGCTTAAAGCACCACTTTATTATTTATTTCTACCAGTTCCGGGGGTAAGTAAGTGATTTTTTTATGGTCTTCATCAACTTGACTCATATTGGATGGCCTAGGATGACCTCACTCTTATGTTTGGGATAACAGATGGGATGGTGGAAAGGAAGGGGTGACTGGAGCCTCTCTCCACATGGTCTCTCATTATCCAGGAAGCCAGCCTGGCTTCTTCACCTGGTAGCATAAGTCTCCAGTGACAAGAAAGGACAAGCTCCAGTATGGAAGGACTTTTCAAGTCTTTGCTTTTGTTACATTTCTTGTTCAATTGACTAAGGCAATTGAACTAAGGCAATTTCTTCCCTATTTTCTTCTCAGCCTCATCTTCCTCTTCTTTAAGATTACACAACGAATAAGACCACATCCACATTATTACATTTTCTGATTCTGGCATAAAAGTAAATTTTTACATAAATTGAATACATCTAAAATTTCTAAATTTTTATTTGTTTTTAATTTTTTTTAATGTTTATTTATTTTTGAGACAGAGACAGAGCATGAACGGGAGAGGGTCAGAGAGAGAGGGAGACACAGAATCTGAAGCAGGCTCCAGGCTCTGAGCTGTCAGCGCAGAGCCCGATGCGGGGTTCGAACTCATGGACCGTGATATCATGACCTGAGCCGAAGTCGGACGCTTAACCGACTGAGCCACCCAGGCACCCCTAAAACTTCTAAATTTTTAAGTTTCATTGTTTCCAACAATGATCTCTCTTTTTACAATTTTTAAAGACCCTGAGAATTCATGGGTTTTCCTCAGATAAGAAATCACACAAAGATTCTCTTGCAAATTAGGAATATTATGTGGGAAAATTATGGAATTAATTTTTCATTTTAATTATGGAATTTAATGGCTGGTCAGCTCACTCAGAAGTGGCAATTCATCACACTGCCTGATCCTAATAAAATAACGGACATGTATATTCTTCCGTTTGGTGGTTACTTGAATGTGAAAATTAAGAGGTATAAATTGAATATATGTGACTTCTTAGAAACTGTAATTTTCTCCTGTATAGTTCTTCTGTCAGCCAGCTGTGTTCAGCCCCTTATGAGGTGCTGAAGAGGATGAATGTGAAAGCATCATGTTAAAAATCAGAAAATGTATGCTTTGGAGTGACTAGTACTTTTCTTGTAATCAAGGCAGTTTTTGGAGCATGACATAAAGTTGTACATTAGAAATCCTTATGGGTTGAATGCATCCCTGCCTTTTTCTAAACAGAGGTGTGTGGGTGAGTAGCACAGTTTTCATGTAATATTACTGTTAAGGTATATATGCAGAGGTAAACTGGCAACATTTGGTGAAACGATACACTTGTTTTTTGGGTCCACACCTAGACTTCAACATGATTTCTGTCAGCCTGCCCTTCACAAATATTTCTAGTGTCCACTTCTAGTCACCTCTCCAGCACTAGAAAATTCAGCAGATTGATTTCACTTAAACATATGTTTGCTGAAAAAGAATTTAATCAGATTAGCCACTTGGTAAAAATAACCAATTATTCAGTTTTGTACTATTCAAGCAGGTGTGTGTGTGTGTGTGTGTGTGTGTGTGTGTGTGTGAATAAAAGGAGAAACAGGGAAGACTGATATTTGTCTTTAAAGAGTACTCATCTTTAGTGCCTCACATCCATTCTTTGGTCCCAATGAAATGACTGATAAATTTCCACACTGACAAAAGATAAAGGTAATCCCTTTGACTTTGCTACAACTCTGGTTATCACTGCGAAATTTGCCTTTTGCTATGGCTGTCTTTCTATCAGCCCAATGCTAGAACACGTAGAAAATTCCTTACTTTTAAATATTGTCCATCAAGCTTGTTGGATTGCACAGCTTCTCAGTTTTCTGAAACTGTGCTATATTATTTGCACTTCTTTATGATGTTAACACAGTGTCTACCTTGGGCCTTGAGATTGCACCTTTTTGGTTTATGCACCAGGAGCTATTTGAATGTCATGCAGTCATTCGCAATTTACACATATCACCCCAGTAGAGTTGTTTTTCAGTAATCTTTATGTTAATCATAACTGTGGTACATTCCAAGATTTCATTCTATATTGCTGTCTCTCCTTTTCTGGTTAACACATCAAGTGATATCCCAGCACATTTCATCTGATTTCCTGCTGAGTATTTCCTTGATAAAAGAAGCAACTTCCTTCCCATTTCTCTCTATAAAAATAGGAATTTAAAGTGTATACACTTTTACATCATTTCAGATTTTCATAGACAAGGCTCCAGAAAATAGATGAAAAATGTCCTTTCATACTGTGTTTGTTCAGGTCTAAGATCCCCATGCCCCATTTTAACTGATCGGATCATGTTTTTTGTTTTTGTTTCCCTAGGACTACAATGATGAAATTCGTCAGGAACAGCTACGTGAATTATCTTACTTAAATGGCTCAGAGGACTCTGGTCGTGGCAGAGGTATTAGAGGCAGAGGGATCAGAATAGCCCCCACAACCCCTTCAAGGTACATTAGCTCTTACTTGAAATAAATTAACTGTAATCAAGGATGGCAAGCCTTTACTGATCTGCTCTGTGCCATGATCATAGCTAGGAATAAACAACATCATCAACAACAACCACCACAACAAAAGCAAGGACAGTGAATGCTTATATAACACATAGGAACTTTCCTAACTTAACTCATCAAATCTTCCATGCAGGGTTAAGTATTATTCACAGGTGAGAAATTGAGGTACAGAAAGGTGTTAAGAATATGCCCGAGGTTACACAAGCAGTCTGACTCTAGAATTCACAGGTGGAACTCTAACCGGCTATTCTAAGAAAATCAGAGGCGCAAACCTGAGACTTTCTTCTTTGTGGTTCTGTCTCCAGGATTAGGGCATGCAGATGATACAATTTTTTTGTCTTTTTCAACCAGGATGACCTTGCAGGAAGAGAAAGCTATACATTGGTCTGTGCGTTGAGTGGCCCTTGAATTGATAGTCCTTCTGGATAGGTAGAGACATAGGTGATGATAGATAGACAGACATTTAGATAGACAGATAATACTTATACCACCAGTCCAGAAAGCCAGAGCACACTTCTTATACGGCTGATGGTAAGAGTATTTAAAAGTCAGTTACGTTTGACTTTGCAATGTCCTTGGTCAACAGAGAAGATTTTACTTGATATTCACTTTCCAAAAATTTGGCATCTTTCTGCATCAGAGTTTGTTTTGTACGATTCTGAATTAGTCAAGCTTTCAGCAGAAAGCATTGGTTTGCAAAGAGGTAAAGCAAAATATACTAATAGCCTTCATGCACAGACTGTGTAATTCATTCTCTTTACCTGATTATAGTTGGCCTTCAAATCTCTAAAAGACATAGGTCTAGAATATTAATTCGTACATTGCATAGAAATCATCTTATGAGATTTTAGGATACTTTGCTGATTCAATTTATTTAGTAAATTATGTCCTAATTATTGTTGACCACCAGTGTCAAAAAAAAACACTGTTTTAACATTTAAGTCATAAACGCCTCCATTTTACAGTGAATCGGGGGAAAAAATTAAAAATGATACATTTCCAAAAAAAATATATCAAGGCAGTAACTATTTAAAGGTAAATTCTGGCAATTCTGAAATTTACATTTGACTAAAGGAAAAACTTCTGAAAATCTGTGAGAACTTATTATTACATTTTTATCTCTAAAAATGAAAAAAAGAGCTCTCTGATGCTGATAAAGAACATTTTTCATTGCTAAAATTTAATGTGACATACTTTTTTGTGGACGTACTTTTATGGAATAAGTCATTTATAAAACCTTGTACATTTCTAACCTCATCATGATGGGTTGTGAAATGACATCATTGCAGGTAATCTTAAGTTGATTAAATCATCTGCTTTAAATAACATAGCTGTCACTTTTGTGATTCCAAAAATAGCAAATTTTGTAGTTTTACATGATGTAAACTAATAAATATTTAGAAAATCTACAGAGGGGACAAGTTTTTTTCTATTCTTTTTCTTTGAAATTGGGACCATCTTTTAAAAATAATGCATTAACCTGCTTTTTAGGATTATAAAATCTTCATATTATTAGATTTTGTTTTATTGAAGTTCTTTGATGTAATATTATATTTGCATATTTGAGTGGACCCTATAAGATTTCAATTTCAGTAAAGCTTTATTCTAACATATTAGTCTCTTTAATGATTTATTAAAGAATAGTGCTTTGTGGTCCCGATTTTTAAATGTTAGAAGAAAAATTTCCTTGAACATTTTTGGTTTTTAATATCCCATATGTATCATACAAATCTAATACTACATATGTATTATGGGAAAAAAAGATAAAATTAATGTTGGAATTTAAACCTCACTTCAGTGCAATATTGATATCATTAATGTATTAACATTAATGAAAGTAAATGGACCAGAACTCTGTTGTCTTTTATTTCAAACCACATGATGGAATGTATCTACAGTTAAAAAAAAGAATAAGGAAACAGTTTTACAAAACAGAAAATCATATTGGTTAGAAAGTTCTTGAAAACATGAGTTAATGGATGCTAATTTGCATGCATGCTAATTGCATGCATAACTAGATTGCATTCAGTACATACTTGTGAAATTATGACTTTATTAAGTTATTCAGATATTTATATTAAAAAAGAATGGTGCCTGGGGTATTTGAAAACTTCTATAATAATTTGTTTAATTAAAACGATTTACATTGCAGCAAATGTATCTATGAAAACTACCTAATCCTCCAATCATTATGCATACCAGAGAACAAAACATTACATCTATATAATAATTCATAGTACATATTTGAAGAATTAAGATATTTGACATCTCTGATGCACTTCATCACTATATATTGAGAGCAAACTGTGGAAAATAAAACATTAGGGGCAGATTTTGAAGGCTTTTGTTCATTAATTAATGAGAATAATACAGAGAACTAATGGAGTTTGTTGAAGAAAGGAATAATCATATTTGTTTCTAAGAAAGACTGCTCAGTCATTACTGTGAGTGATAGAGAAGTAGAGCAATCAAAGAGAGACAGACATAAAGACCCTGATTTATGGCAAGGAAGCCAGTGAGGAGACAAGTCCATTATCCAAGGCAGAAATGCACAGCCCTTGTATAGAGATACAGGGCTAGATTAGAGATAAGAATTTATAGGAATTAGTACTGTATTAGATGTTGGGGAAGAAAGAGTGGCCCACACAAGGATAACTCTTTGACATCTAGCTTAGTTAGAGATTAATGACATCAAATAAGATTTGGTGAGGGACCAAGTTAAACAAAGACTATAGTTATTCCTATAATTATCCAAGATCTATGGATCTAGTAGGACCTTGAGCAGGTGACTTGTACTTTCTGTGACTTGTTACTCAACCTTCAAAGTTTCTTAGAAATGTCTTCATGACAACCTTGTCAAGATTTTTGAATTAGATGATACATATAGGGCAGTGGTTCCCAAATTGGTCTACATACTGGAATCACTGAGGGCTTCCTGCCATTAGAGGTTGTGATTTAATTGGCCTGGGGTGTGGTCTGGAATTTGGAATTTTTTGAAGGTCTTCAGGTAAATTCTGAAATGCAGACAAGTTAAGGAACCTCTGATATAAGGCATATAATCCAGGATATGGCATGTGTTAGGAAGGAAACAGGTAACAGTCGTCATTAGCCTTAGAGAATGCAAGGGTCCAAAGAGGGCATTTTCCAAATAGTAATCCACAGTGATAAATATAACAAGTTCAGTGAAATGGGGACTGTAAATGAATCCAGTGGATTTGTTACCAGTGAAAAGTTACTGGTAATCTCAGAAAGAGTATTTTCAGCAAAGTGGGGAAGTAATAACTAGATTGCATTCAGTTCTGGGATGAGCAGGAGGTGGAGTATTGAGGACAGAAAACTTTTGAGAAGTCAGAAAAATGAAGAATACTGTAGTGTAGACTCAGCCGGGGACAGTATCCTAAAATAGATGATGTGAAACTTCAGCTGAATTGGAGAAAAGAGATATGAGATTAAAATTCCAGGGAAAGAACATAGTGTACGGAGGTGATGAGTCAGATTCAGGAAACAGGTTTTCTAGGGCTGTGTCTGGGACACAACTGACGGAGGAATAGGATGAGAAATTAGATTTGATGTGAGCATCATATAATTTTAAAGCAGGAACAGTTGTTACAGATTGAGAGATCTGATTTTACCCATTAGAAAAAAAAAATACACCTTAAACCTGGGGAGTTACAGTCCTTCCTTGTGATTATTCATTAAAATAAGACTTGTGAAAATCATTTACTACCCACACCTGGACACTTTTGAGAATGTTAAAATGCTAAACTAAACAGGAAGCTAGGACAACAGTTGTATATCAGAATTATTCTGGGCAAACCTGGATGTATGCTCACCCTGCTGAGGAAACAGACCCTTGGAGGCCCAGTGAAGGTAAAATTGGTCTTTACATCATTTTTCATAGATGTGTTTCATATTATGATGATAATATAGTATATTGTGTTCTCAGCTATTGTTGTGTTTGAAGTGGGCACTGGGCCTTCTGGGTCTTTTGTATTTCACCTTCCCCAATCTAGGAGAGCATTCTCTATACATTAGACTTACAATAAGTTCTCTGATAATTTCTCTATTCATCAGCTCTATAATCTATTTAAAACGTTTAAAAGCTTTACCAGCATTCTTACTGTTCACTCACAAAAGCTCATTTTCTGCAAGCAAGAAACAGCCAGCTGACTGCTATTCATAGCAGAAAGCCTAACCTACATCCCCCATCTGTGGGTACAGCCAAGCAGTGTGATTGTTGACATCCCAATGATCATCATTTTTCCTAAAGCTTTAGTGTTCCTGCTGAAAGCAGTGCTTTCTGGAGGCCAGCCTTTCAGACATAATAAAAAGTGAAATAACCATGGTTTGCCCAAAGACTTCAAACACTCAACCTTTCCAAAGGCCTTGGAAAACCATAAAAGTTGGCTGCAACCATTTGATCTTAGGCTTTTAATACAAGTTACTTTTGTGTCAAGCACTGTAGTACAGAACATTCAGTCTATTCTTTTATTGCAGAATCCTAATGTATTTCACTAACACCGTAGTTACCATAGGAAAATAAATTATATTAGTGACTATACCAGTTCAGGGGGTTGTATGCATGATGACAAATCAGTGACAATGAGTTCCGATTTCAATGACCTTAAGCTTAAGCTACTATAATAAACAGAATGATATCACCATGCTTAGAGTTCCACATTTTATTAAAGTATGAAAGCGCACACAGATTTTTTTCGTTGTAAGTTACAACGTTGCACTCACTGTCAATAACCTCCAACACGGAGGAGACATTGACATTTAGCAGCTCAGTCTCATAGATGGTCCAGTGAGCCATACAGGTTTCCCCTGCCATCCAAAAGTAGAATATTCCTGGGGCGCCTGGGTGGCGCAGTCGGTTAAGCGTCCGACTTCAGCCAGGTCACGATCTCGCGGTCCGTGAGTTCGAGCCCCGCGTCAGGCTCTGGGCTGATGGCTCGGAGCCTGGAGCCTGTTTCCGATTCTGTGTCTCCCTCTCTCTCTGCCCCTCCCCCGTTCATGCTCTGTCTCTCTCTGTCCCAAAAATAAATAAAAAACGTTGAAAAAAAATAAAAAAAAGTAAAATATTCCTATGAAATATTTCATAAGCTGAAATGGAATAAAGCAAAGAAGCAATTGCCATTAATTTATATGAAAAATTTTTGAGTGCTCTCAGACCCCTCAAAAAATGACCTCAGGCTTTTCTGATACCTTAGGATACATCTTCCTAATGGATGCACAAAGTAAATGGAGATAAAGCACAGATGCTCACACAGTTCAAAGCCCTGGCAGGTTGATGGTAAGATGCTGAGTGTAGCACCAGGGGAAGGAGCTTGGTGGCTCCACTCTCGCTGCTTGGGGTGCACACTAGCCCTATAATCGCTCGCTAAAAAACAAATACTAAACTCTATTTTTGTTTTTCGCCTTTTTCATAAAAGCAGAAATCCCCTTCTGAGATCTTTCAGTTAGCGAAAACAGGTGCTAAAGTCAGTCTTTTGTAAAAGTAAAGTGGCATAAGGTGAACTTTTAAAAGGCAGAGGATACTTACATGTTACCAGAAACTCTGATTTGGGTCTTCTTGGCAAATCTGGAATAAAATGAGAGTGCGTTGGTTTGTGTTTGGTTGTTTGTTTGGTTGGTTGGTTTTCTATAGTAAAGTATTTGATACGATTTTCATTATAAGTCATAGGTAGCATTTACAAAATTTATTCTACTATAGACATCAAATGCTTTACATCCTCAAGAGTCTCAATCACACACACACACACACACACACACACACACACACACACACACACATGCATACAGAAATAAATTTGGTTTTCTTTTCATCAGTGTAGTCTGTTTTAGTCTGTTTCAGTCTCTCTCATCACTGGATTCTCATCTGTCCATGACCTGTTCCTCCTAGGGGCCGTGGGGGCGCCATTCCTCCTCCCCCCCCACCTGGACGGGGTGTCCTCACCCCTCGAGGGACTACTGTGACTCGTGGAGCTCTTCCAGTGCCTCCTGTAGCAAGAGGTGTCCCTACTCCACGAGCCCGCGGAGCACCGGCAGTGCCGGGATACAGGGCACCCCCTCCTCCAGCCCACGAGGCTTATGAAGAATATGTAAGTACCCTCGAGAAACCCATTGTTAGGAAGATCTCAATTCATTGGGTAACAAGCTAACCCTCAAAGACATTCATATACCATGAATATAGCAGATGATGTTTGCTGCAGAAGGCAAACGTCATTTGCATCAGAAGTTAATCAGTGCATTTAAACAAGAGCTTTTTTTGAGAAAAGCTTTTATTTTACAGGGACCATGATTATTCGTACCAGTTAAGTAGCTTGCATTTTAAGAATTTTCCTATCTTTAGAAGATCAATCTCAAAAGGGAAATAATTATGAATATAATGTAAAATGTCTGAATATTCAGAAGCTTCTGGAACATGTTAAAGACTAGTATAAAACTCACTCGGCAGTATTTGACTATTATTGTATTATAAACTGTGGTAATAATGTAAGACCATGTGGTTTGTCTTTCACTTAAATATCCTTGCTCTGTCTTTCACCATATGAAACATATGGAATTGGCAGATATGAAGAATTCAAAAAATATAGAATGAACAGAAGACATGTAGTGTCTGTAAGTAGTCCCCTCACTTCCCAAGCACTCTGTCACTTGATACACCCTTTGATCTTTCATCCAGGTTGTTAATATTCCACTGGTCACATTGTATTCTAGTCCCTGTAACTAGAATACTGTGAAAATTATAAAAGGGCACATTTTCCTATTCACTTGTGTAACCATAGTAAATCCACTGTAAATGTTAAAGTGAATTGATACAAGCCAATCGTCATCTTATGAAACAGATTCATTTTGTCTTTAACCTTTCCAGCATGCTCATCCCTGGTCTAGGGTATTATTTTATCCAGCCACCCACACACATGCTGTCTTCTTAAATGTCCTCTGTAAATGGTTACTTATTAAGCATAAACTCTTCAAGGACAGTTACTGTCACATGTGGGGCACTCAAAATACATAAATGTTCAATGAAGTGGTTAATACCCAAGTAAAACTTAATCCAAAATATAGTGAACATGATTGATAGGTATCACTAAGAATGTATTAGTGCTGAGAGTATGTTAGTGTTTAGGAATGATGTTACTGCTTAGTATGAAACATTGACTAATATTTGCAAGAGGGAAGAAAAGTTATGTTTAGAAATCCATTTCTACTGGCAAAGGAGAAATGTGTTCATCTAAAGTATCTTTTGATACCAAAAAAGTTAGATATCAATGTCAGGCATCAATATTGAAAAACTTAATCTGAAAATTACAAAATTGGAAACAAAATATATTCTACCCTGTAAATATGACCACAAATTAGGAAACACAGAGCCAGGTCTTGATTTTGCCATCTCTTTCCTGAGAAATAAGTATGAAATAAATATGAATATGTATGAAATAAGTACTTGTTAAATGAATGAATTAAAAATCCACAATGGGATGATGGAATTTTTTTAAACCTCTCAGAAACCTTCTATCTCTGCCATTTTTATGTGCATTGTTTTGTTACCATGGTACTTGTGTCTTCCAAACAGAAGCTTAAGCAGTCAGATCTCTATTTCAAAAATTAAAAGAGAGAGAAAACCTTTTCAGGTCGTAGTGGTCAACATTGTTATTAATCAGAGAAGTTACAGGGCATGGAGGGCACTGTGAAAGAGAAGAAGACTGGCAAAACATTGTAAGCTTTTGTGTAGCTACTAACACCCGGTAGCCTTTCACATGCCTTCCAGTTTATAGTTGGATAGATCACTGGAATGCAGGCCAAATAAGAGTAAGCTACAAAAGCATGAAGAGTTTATAGAAACATGAGTGAAAGGGTTATATACTGAATAGGAGAGGGTGGTTTTTGGAGTAAGTGAAAGAAAATATGTAAAGCCATACTATCTGAATTTTTTATTTAGATTCTAAGGTATCCAGTCCCTTTTATTCATTCACTCAATCATTTACTGAGCCTCAGTCTTATTTCAGGCACTGTTCTCAAGGTCCTGGAGATGTAGCTGTGAACAAAACAGACCAAATATCTGCCTTCATAATGTTTGCATTTTAGTGAGGGGAGACAGAAAACACACATATATCAACAAATGAATGAAGTAGTGCCAGGTAGAGATAAGTGCTCTGGAGAGAGGTGGATGGAGGACACTACAGTAGCATGGGCTGTTATGGAAAGTCTCTCTGCCATAAAGACTTGAACAAATGCCTAATGGAGCAAGGGTCCAGGCTGAGAGGATGCCTCCATAAAGGGCATCCCTGGTAAAGGAAACAGCAAGCACAAGTGCCCTGAAATGGGACCTGCCTGGAACATTTGGGGGCTAGCAGCAAACAGAACATTAAAGCTGGAGCAGAATGTGTGAGGCAGAGGTCGTAGATGAGGTCAAGTAGATGAGGCTTTTGGAATTCTGGGCAGGACAGTGCCATGATCAGATTTATGTTTTAAGAGCCTCTGTTGACATCATGGAAAACAGAATATGGGGTAGGAGTGGGCCAGTAATAGAAACAGAGACTGCTGAGTGACTCATTGCAGTATCCTCCACTGGCAAAATGATGGCTTGGAGGGGATGAGAAGAGAGATCAGAGTGTGAGAGCACTGGGAAAATGATCTGTTAGGTTTTGGATGATAAAATGGATGCAATGTGTGAGAAAAGAAAGTAAAAGGAATTTTTGCAACGTTTCTGTGAAGTGCAGGTTAAACTGAACCTTGAGCTGAGCAAGTGGGTTAAATCCAGATGTCCTTTATTGAGATGAGGAGCACTGGGGAGGGAAGCGGAAAGTCTGGCCTGCGGGAAAGTCAGCTGTGTTGCTGGGGGGACAGGACCTGACTTTTGAAACATACAGCAGCAGCCGGAGGTTTGCATTCTTGTCATGTCACTAGCTGTGCAATTTATAAACACTGAGGCTTGGATTTCCTGTCAACTTGGGTTTTCCTTTCTACTGGAAAGGGGAATTGTGCTCATCTAAAGTATCTTATATACAATAGGAGGTGTCAATATTGAAAATTTTAGACAATCTTAAACGTGCAAAATTGGAAACAGAAAAATACATTCTACCCTGTAAACAAGCCCACAGATCAGAAAACACAGACCCCCGTCTTGATTCTGCTATCTCTTTCCTGAGACATAGTATGTATGAAATAAGTACTTGTTAAGTGAATGAACTAAAAATCCACAGCAGAGATGGGGGGGGCGGGGTGTTATATGAATAGAGAGTCATGAAGTCCAGTAATAGCAATACCATCAGGCCTTAAGAAAGTTCTAGAACGAGGAACTAGAAAATTGTCAAGAATCTCTTTTCCTATCTCATCTCTGTTCTCTGCATATATGTTTCCATTCACTTTAGTCTACAATCTACTGGATCTTTGGCTTCTCTTGATCAACGTATGTCCACCCCAGGGCTGCCACATTTGTGTCCAGTTCTCGTCACCTACAGACACTGACTGGCTGTCTGTCTCTCCGTCCCAGTCTAGATCCCCAGGTGAGGGAGTCATACTCACCCAGGCTTGTCAGGTGTCCAACACTAGTCAGTCAGCCATGACTAGGGACAGTTTTTGGATGTTAAGTCTGGGATCTACTACTTACCAATCAGCAGTACAAGGGAAGAGTAAGGGTCAAGTTCACACAATATGAGCATGGTTATTGGGGGCCCAGCCCCAAGGATAATGTGGGGAGACACTAGTTACCAGAGAAGGAGAATATATTTTGAACTTGGCAGATTTCCCAAAATATATCTATGATAACATTCTCTTGATAACAGACAAAAGTAGATAACTGTTCTTTAAATGCCCTTTTATGCCATGTTTTATAAAAAGCTATCATATGTCATATTTTAATTTTTCCCCTGTAAACAATTCAATGATTATGTACAGAGTTTAATACATGGCTGATAAGCTGCTGTCAGCATCTCTGAAGTCTCAGACCAAGCTCAGATTAACACTCAAGAGCTGCTATTCTCTGCTCTAATTTTAAACTATTGATTCCTCTGTAAGGGGTAAGAAAAACAAAAGTTTAAGTGTTTCCGTAACAAAATAATAGCACCATGCTGAGTTGATGGTGAAAATCTCAAAGGAGTTCTTAACTTTCAGATAAAATTTCTAGAAAAGGTTCCCTTTATTATAAATGACACTGTGAGCCAATTCACTCCTCAGACTTCTCTTTCTTCCCTGCTGGGTCCCAGCATTACATTTCTGACCACACAGAATGGATACAGGTAATCAAATCCACTCCTTGCAGCCTGCCTGACAAGCAACAGCTTACAGTAAATGAGATTGCTGTTTAAAACCATCATTAGTGTTAGCAGAGTCTAAAAAAAATGTGAATTTTGGTTTGTTATACATCCTAATCCAGACTTTAAATATTTTAAAGTTTCTTTGCACTGACCTTCTAAGAAGTACATTTAAATTTTACAGATCCATCATCATGATCAAAATAGATTTGCAGAATTGAAAAGTAGAGTTCAAAAAATCTCCCACATAACAAAATATGAAGTTGATCATCTGTATCAGTGGATAATATGTTAAGAGTGAGTAAACCGAAACATAAACTTTTGAATGCCTACTAGGTTCCAGTCACTATTTTAATTAACTTAATTTCATGATAACACAACAACCAGTTATCGATGAGTGATTTTAGTAGGTGAGGAATTAAGACTTGCATTCAATTTTCTGTCTCCAAACCTCTGTATCTTTGTCATCATAAGATATCCTACATAGTACTTGCTTCACAGAGAACTCACATGCACGTATACAGACCATTTGTTCTTCACACCTCCCATCCAGACCACTAGTCCGGGCTTGAATCCCCTCAGCAATATTTAGGACATCTACCAGCCTCTACAGGAACACCTCCAACTATGGAGAACTCAGTACCTCCAGAAGCTAGGTGCTGGACATACACAAACTGTGGTTAAAGAGACACTACCTCTGCTCTCAAAAAGCATGCCATCTAGTGGGAGAGACAAAGAATTAGTCTAACAATTAACATAGAATATGTAATTGCTTTAGGCTCTTATCTTACTCTACCTTCTATTAGAAGTAAGTTTTGCTCTTATCTTCTCGCTCATAACTT